AATTTTGTTCTCCGATAAAGCGAGCAAATGGAAACTTCCTTGTTTCTTCTGCAACCTTACAAAATCATAATATAGCACCGAGAAAAGTCATTCCAATAACAATAAAATTGTTTTAAAAAGTTAAGCTGTCAAAACTTGGCTTACAATGATCACTAGAAAGTTATTAGCTACAAGATATCTTGATAATATGAACAAATCGTAAAAATTAATATTCCACACAAAAATCTTCATTGTATCTGCAAATGTCTTCAGAAAATATCAAGGAGCAAGAATGGTGCTCTGGAATTATAACATTGATGTATAAAATGATCGTTGATATTCATTCGCTAAATTCAGCCTATTCCTTTCACGCGAGTGCAGTAATTCTTGGCACAAATATTCACAAACTAACAAACAAAAGCACACGTGCTAACAACAGCATTCCTGATGAAAGAAACAGAATGGTGGACCTGTACCAAAATCGTTTCTTCTTGAAGAGAATCGCTCAATTATAGAAGAATAAGCTTAATACATATAGAACTAAACATTTAATAATCATTAAATTTCTTCTGGAGAAATACGGAAGTCAGATAATTACTGCTGTTTATCAACAAAGTGATCTATTAACAAATGCAGACACACACCGGCTCGTAGAATGAGATCGAGGGGTGGGAAAACCTTATCCACCAATTTGACGCTAGATCAAACCGCCCATCGATCTCTTCCTATAATCAAGACGACAAAAAAAGGAAACCTGTGCGATAAAGGCAAAGATTTAAGTGTTCAATATATTGAACAGTCATCTGCACGCAAGTCATGGTTCACTAATACTACTCATTTGGATCCGTAATGGTCGCTCTTTACGACGAGCAGCAGCCGTCATAGTTTGCCCATTCTCTTTGATCTGAATCTGTTTTCTATCTTCGATTGAAAGTTCCTTCGATTGCTCAGCCATATCCCTAAAAACCAAAAAAAAATCGCGTCGGAGAAGAAGCATTGGGATGGAACTTAAAATGAGTCAAGAATATTGGCTAAAATACCAACATACGAATGAAAATTTAAGTCGATGGAACTCAGAGCCACAATTCTTTCACAACATTTTCAGCTGTGGATGACATAATTTTACATATTGAAAATATATAAATTTGACTTGCCGGTAGTATATCACGCGTCCTCCTATGCGTTCGATAACTTCATTTGGTGCGTAAGAAGGCTGTGGAGAAAACTTTACCGCACCATCCAACATAGCTAGACGACTGAGAGTATACGGCCATTTATCCCACGAGCTGCCAATCTGCAACTTACATATGAGCTCACAGAAGACAAGAATGAGATTATGAAATGAATAACAAAAAACAGATAACGATCTAGCCTACCTAAAGGATAATTCAGTTATCAAAAGACCAATTAAAACCCAAAATCGCAGATACTTCAGCAAAATTGATGGGAAAAAGGACTAATCATTATAAATCGGAAGAGGCCCGCCCGCTTTCGGGAGGAACGAGCGGGAATAGGGTATTGAGGCATAATAAAGAGCAAGTAGGTTTGGACACATTCACATTCGGACTGCGGAATTGGATTTCGCCGGCGATTTGGACTTAGGGTGAAGTGATTCTACACTTCATTGTGTTCCCTTAATGGTATTGTGTACGGGGTCGCTCGTATTCTTCTCCAAGCACTGTCTTCACCGTAGTTTTTTCTGCATTCTCGTTGTGTTCTCTCTTGTTGATTTCGTTAGTAAGTAACTCATGTACGCGTGTTGGTGTGTTCTGTTCCGCGGTTTATCCGGTCATACCAAGTGAGTCGATCGGGCTCACACGGCCGAGCCGTTTTGACCTAGTCAAGGACTGAACAAAGTGCCTCCGGCGTATTGATTATCGAATTTCAAGTCGCCGTCGCAATCGGGTCACATCGCAGTGGT